TTTACTTTACATTTTAACCTCTTATCATACTAATTACATTTATAGTAAGTGATTTACAATTCAAACTTAAATTAGAGTGGAAGGCAGGTGTGTAAGTGGAAGACAGTTTCTGTGGAAAGATAACAAATAGGAAATTGTCCCACTGGCAAGTCACAAGGAATGTTGACTTACTGAAAACCAACATTCCTTGTCAAAATCATCATAATGATGTAGCAGCTCCTTTGCAGAACGTCGCTCTCATCACAGTCTGCATGAAAAAAACTTGGTCTCTCGCCAGCTCTCCCGCCTCATGTACTTTCATACTCAAGGAGTCACTAAATATCCTGTGCCCATCTTCGTGTCGGTCGGCCCCTGCCCCTGCTTCCTGGTACCATGCCTTCTGCTATAATTTTTTCCAATCTATCGTGGTGCTTGATATAACCAAAATATTTCAGCTTTCGAGACAGGATGCTATTTATTAGCCAATCTTCCTTGATGTTCAGATCTTTTAAGAAGTCAATATTTCTCCTCTTTTTCGTCTAAGATATTCTGAGAATCTTTCTATAGCATTTCAGCTCAAAAGCCCCTATTCTCTTTCTTAAGGACTGGGAGATAGTCCACGACTCACATCTGTATGTTGCCACAGGGAAGATGCATGCACTCAAAATTCTAATTTTGATCTCCTTGCTGGTGCTTAACCATAGACATTTTAGGCTGTTTACCTTGTCAAAATAACAAAGATAAAATCACACAGACTCTGCTGATACATCTGTAACAATGTGAAAGCTGGCAAATGATCAGATATCACAAACAATATTCTGAGAACAATGAGTAGATACGGATGTAGAGTACCAGACGCAGCTGTACAGTACACTTTCTATTTACTAGACACAGCTGTGCAGTACACTTTCTATTTACTAGACACAGCTGTGCAGTACACTTTCTATTTACTAGACACAGCTGTACAGTACACTTTCTATTTACTAGACACAGCTGTACAGTACACTTTCTATTTACTAGACACAGCTGTACAGTACACTTTCTATTTACTAGACACAGCTGTGCAGTACACTTTCTTTTTACTAGACACAGCTGTACAGTACACTTTCTATTTACTAGACACAGCTGTACAGTACACTTTCTATTTACTAGACACAGCTGTACAGTACACTTTCTATTTACTAGACACAGCTGTACAGTACACTTTCTATTTACTAGACACAGCTGTACAGTACACTTTCTATTTACTAGACACAGCTGTGCAGTACACTTTCTTTTTACTAGACACAGCTGTGCAGTACACTTTCTTTTTACTAGACACAGCTGTACAGTACACTTTCTTTTTACTAGACACAGCTGTGCAGTACACTTTCTTTTTACTAGACACAGCTGTACAGTACACTTTCTATTTACTAGACACAGCTGTGCAGTACACTTTCTTTTTACTAGACACAGCTGTACACTACCCTTTCTATTTACTAGACACAGCTGTACAGTACACTTCATATTACATAGGCAGGTGCACAATACATTTTAAATTACAGAGGAACAGCTGTACAGTACACTTCATATTTACTAAATACAGATGTACAGTACATTTCATATTTCCTATACAGCTATGCCGTACACTCATATTTGCTAGACAGAACTGTATGGTACCCTTCAGATTTACTAGATACAGCTGCACAGTGCACCAAAACACTGACTAGATACAGATGTATATTACCTTTATCACTGACTAGACATGGCTGTAAAGTACCCTAAACATTGACTAGACACAGCTGTACAGTACTCTAAACATTGACTAGACACAGCTGTTCAGGACCCTAAACATTGACTGGACACAGCTGTACAGTACCCTTAACATTGACTAGACACAGCTGTAAAGTACCCTAAACACTGACTAGACACAGCTGTACAGTACTCTAAACATTGACTAGACACAGCTGTAAAGTACCCTAAACATTGACTGGACACAGCTGTAAAGTACCCTAAACACTGACTAGACACAGCTGTACAGTACTCTAAACATTGACTAGACACAGCTGTTCAGGACCCTAAACATTGACTAGACACAGCTGTACAGTACCCTAAACATTGACTAGACACAGCTGTACAGTACACTAAACATTGACTAGACACAGCTGTACAGTACCCTAAACATTGACTAGACACAGCTGTACAGTACCCTAAACATTGACTAGACACAGCTGTACAGTACACTAAACACTGACTAGACACAGCTGTACAGTACCCTAAACATTGACTAAACACAGCTGTACAGTACACTAAACATTGACTAGACACAGCTGTACAGTACCCTAAACATTGACTAGACACAGCTGTACAGTACACTAAACACTGACTAGACACAGCTGTACAGTACTAGACAGAGGAAAATCAGTTATACAGTAACATTTTGCTAAAAATATTCCATGCAAAAAAAAAAAAAAAAACTTCTGATTCCAATCAGTGTCCTTTTACATCAGGTTTTTTTTAACTAAGTCTAGTCAGTGGCCACAGTGTTGGAAATAAGGATCGTCACAGACCAGAGGCCTAAACCTCATAGAAAGATCATTAATACAATACAACTGGCAGTGACCCGCGAGCCACTCGAATGGCCAGATTTAGTCCGCAGGCTGCCAGCCAAATAGCCCTGTTTCACAAAGGCTTGTTTTGTTTTTTTCTGAACCAGATTTCTCACTTTCAACTTTAGTCATGTCATCAAACTTCTAGTTATTTCATGAGCTCCTGTGCCAATCAAGCTCCTTGTTAAACAGTGAAATAAATAATACAAGTCAAAATTTCCAAAAGAAAATCAGGCTGTAAAAGTACAGTAAATACACAAACTTAAATACAAATAAAATATGGTCAAAAACTAAAATCTGTAACAACAACATAAAAAGGTCATGCTAATAATCAATCTAATAACAAGACAAATATGTACAAATTCAACATTCCTGTACACAATAAGTAAAATAAAAATCAGAATTATGAGTATCTGAGGTTGGCATAAATTGAACATGTGAATTACAATTATTATACAGTGTTCTAATTGCATACTTTGTGTCACTGATCAACCAAATATTATGTTTACATATATAATATATAAATGTGCGGCATCCGTGGCTTAGGCGTTGCAAGTCCGACTCATAATTCCGAGGTACCGCAATCGAAACCCACTGCTCGCTGCTTGGATTTTTTGTCATTGTATGGTGCATCACAGGTTGAACCAGCCTAAAATGGGTACTAGGTTTAATGTCCTGGGAAAGTAGAGACGGCAGGTGTTATGCTGGACACATTACCCACCCAGTGCCGATTGGTCTGTAAAAATATGGGTGCTCTTCCCTCATGCCTGATGCGCCTAAAGGCGTGAAAAGGGATCTTTACTTACTTACTATATACATATACATATAGTCACTCACAAAATAAGTACTGCGTTTTTTCCATGAAGTTAAAATGAATATACGGGGATGGGATGGGATGAAAGTTAGAGAGTGTTTTGGACTTGAGAAAACTGACTGACCGTTCCTGGACCGGGCCATCTTGTAAAAAACACTATAGCTGCCATAGCGCTTGACCCGTTGCTATACTCTGTCACAAATTGTTGCTGCTGTTGAATTGTCTTTGAAAAGCTTGTTCACTCAACACCTTTAGGATTCCATGTTTTGGTGACTCCCTTACTCGAGCCATGGCCAACCCATAGAGGTAACTCTACAAGGTCCGACGATTAAGTAATGAGAGTAATTTCATAAAAATAATTAACAGTTAAAGATATAAACCTGCATCTGATTCAAAGTAAACCTTTTGTGCATTGATACAGTGAGTAGCACAATCTAACAAATACTGAAATGACCTCTGTAGTTCCTCTATTGCTATGGCCTTTAAAATCAATGTTCCGGCCCCTTGGATGTCATCAATTTCATCAAAGAAGTGTCCTTTCAATGGTAACTTTAATTTTGGGAACATAAAATAATCACAGGGAGACAAATCGTGGGAATAGGGTCGATGGTTGAGAACATACACTTCTTTTGGGGCCAAAAATTCCGGCTTGTTTGTTGTCTGCTTATCGTAAGGAGATAAAAAGTTGCCAGATCATAGGTAAAGGTTGCCTCTTTAGATTCCATGCTTTGCTTCGTAAATGGCATTTTTATCTTGGCCATGATAAAATCAGTCTCCTTACTTAATTGTCGGACCTTGTATGACATGAGAGAAAGCTGGAAAACAACCAAAGATATAGAAACGACAGTTAAATGCAATTAAAAATAAATGCCTGAGAAAAATCATGAATATAAAATGAGATGAAATCACAAAAGAGTGACGAGATCATGGAGAAATGACTGTATTAACTGCAGTAAGACAGAGAAGAAGGTATACTCTGAGATGAAAAAGGCAAATAATTACAAAACAAGCACTAAAATGGGAAACAAACGGTTTGAGAAAAGGAGAATGTCCAAGGGAAACATTAAGAAGAACAATGTTACGAGAAGCTAAAGAATACAGGGCTCAATTCCATGTCAGAAATCGAGAGAGTTTCATGCAGTAGAGCGAAGTGGAGGAATAAAATGCGAGCCCTATCTGACATCTAACGACACCCAAAAGATTATGACAATTTTAGTATACTCAACCAACTGTCGCTGGCTGTTAACACTTTTCCCACAAATGAATGACCATCTGTGCTTTTAAAAAAAATGAACCGTCCAATATGTTTAAACAATGCAGACAAAATTAATACATTGCACGATTAATTGTCTGGCATATTTCGCTGTATCTCGTCAGCAGCATTGCTATAAACATAAAATGAATCACAAAAATGAATCATTTTCACTGAAATACAAATTCACATTGCCACTGTCAAGTTTGGCTGTTCAATTCCCCACTGAAAATTCAAAATCAGCTATGTGATTACCAAGGTAATTAAAATTTATGACGTGGTTTTACTGTTTACATAAAATAGAGTTCCAATGTTTGTGTCCACATTATTGAAATTTGCAAAGGGAAAACACTGTTTTGAGCATCCATTATGTATTATTATCATGCGCTCTTGTATGCTCAACCAACAATCGATGGTTATCAAAACTCTCGCCACAAAAGCACGACCATCTGACCGCTGGTGTGACCTTGACCGCACTGGTAACCAGCATATTATGGCTGCCATCCTGCTGCAAGTACTGCTGAGATGTGTGCTGCTGAGATGTGTGCTGCTGAGGGCTCTCTGAGCTCTGTGCTTGTGATGCTTCGATGCAATCTTGACTGGAAGATGGGAACACCTGCGAGAAACTGTCCGCAACTGGAGGCCCCATGCCGGTGTTGTCTTCCCCATCCTGGCCTGAAACCTTGAGCTTCTCCAGCTTCTCCTCATGACACTTCCGGATGTGTCGCTTGAGGTTGTCGGCCCTTGTGAACAGGGCACCACAAAAACATGGATGTTTCTTCTTCCTGCTGACCCGCTCGACAGTAACGCTGCCATCCGTGCTGTAACCTGCTGGAGTGGCAAACAGGTAAGGTTATTGATTATACACGGAAAATATCAACCTCTATAAACTGACCTCCCATGATGAACACTTGGAAATGTCAACCCCACATACTGACCTCCCATGGTGAACACTTAGAAATAGCAACCTCGTACACTGGCTTCCATTGTAAACACTTGGAAATATCAACCTCACATACTGACTTCCCATGGTGAACACTTGGAAATGTCAACCCTGTATACTGGCTTCCATTGCAAACACTTGGAAATGTCCACCTCACATACTGACTTACTATGGTGAACACTTGGAAACAGCAACCCCAAATCATGGCTTCCATTTGCAAACACTTCAAAATAGCAACCCCATTTCATGGCTTCCATTTGCAAATACTTCAAAATAGCAACCCCATTTCATGGCTTCCATTTGCAAATACTTAGAAATAGAAACCCATATCATGGCTTCCATTTGCAAACACTTAGAAATAGCAGCCCATATCATGGCTTCCATTTGCAAACACTTCAAAATAGCGGCCCCATATACTGATTCTTACTGGTTACAACTTGGGAATATTAATTCCCATATAACATCTCCTAGTGGTGAAAACTTGCAAACAGCAACTTCAAATACTGGCTTCAATTGGTGAAAACTTGGAAATATTAATTCCCATATACTGGCTCCTACTGGTGAAAACTTGGAAATAGCAACCTCATCTGGTGACTTCCCACTGGTAAAAATTTAGAGACATATACTGACTTCCTATTGTAAACAGTTTGAAACAGCAACTCCATATAACAACTTCCCTTCATGAAAAGTTTGAAATAACAACTTAATATGCTGTCTTCCACTGGCAAAAACTTGGAAATAGGATCCCTACATAATCACCCCCCACACTGAACACTTGGAAACAGGATCTCTACATAATCACCCCCCACACTGAACACTTGGAAATAGGATCCCTACATAATCACCCCCCCCCCCCCCCCCCCACACTGAACACTTGGAAATAGGATCCCTACATAATCACCCCCCACACTGAACACTTGGAAATAGGATCCCTACATAATCACCCCCCACACTGAACACTTGGAAATAGGATCCCTACATAATCACCCCCCACACTGAACACTTGGAAATAGGATCCCTACATAATCACCCCCCACACTGAACACTTGGAAATAGGGTCCCTATATAATCACCCCCCCCCCCCCCCCACACACACACACACTGAGCACTTGGAAATAGGATCCCTACATAATCACTCCCACACTGAGCACTTGGAAATAGGATCCCTACATAATCACCCCCCACACTGAACACTTGGAAATAGGGTCCCTATATAATCACCACCCCCCACCCCCCACACACACACACACACACACTGAGCACTTGGAAATAGGGTCCCTACATAATCACCTCTGGCAATATTTTTTTCTAGGCTATGCCAGCATAGTGGGTAATGAACAGGCAGATAGATTGGCTGGATCTGCACCACTGGGTGGTGAATTGATTCATGACAAGGCAGATGTGGTCAAGGCCCTTTGGGAACAAGCAATGGAATCAGTAGAGAATAAAGATTATTAATGCCTGGAGAGAATGAGGCACCTGGATGTGACCAGAGAGTCTGGCCGGCTCACTACACTCAGAGGAAAGACGGACATATAACATGTGACCAGTACCATAAGTAATGGAACCCTGCACTGGTTGCTGAAAATGAGGACAGAGCACTCATGGGAATGCCCCGAGTGCTGTGAAAGGATATAAACTCCGGCCACATACAAGTTGATAATATGAAAATCAAATGAACGGAAAATATATAAGTACTTGGGTGCAAACTTCAACTGCTTCAACTGCTCCAACATGCTGAGAGAAGAAATACAATCTAAAAATAAAATATACTAAGACCATCGACATCTGCTAAAGTCAAAGTGTTTGTCTCGCAACACCAAGATCAAAATATCTAAAACATTAATTAGACCAGTCTAATATGGCACTGAAACCTGGAGCCCAACCAAAAGAGATGAAGCCTTATTACACGTTTTCGAATCTTTGTACCCATCAAAGATGCAAACAGCGGTGAATGAGAGTGAGAAGCAACAACGAAATTCATAATCTGTTTAAATCACCACTGATCACTGGCATCATGAGAGCTAATAGACTTAAATGGTTGGGACATATTGAAAGAATGTCAGATGGCAGAGAAGTAAAAACTGTATACACAAGGTAAATAAATGGCCGTAGACCACAAAGCAGACCAAGAAGACGATGGAGAGATAATATCTAGACAGACCTGCAAACACTTGGTGTCACTAACTGGAAAGCCAGCCAGAAAGATGAATGGAGACGGGTGATATCTGCAGCAATGAACCTCAAGGGCTCGGAATGCTGAAGAAGAAGATGGTGAATACTTCTAAACAAAATTATTATACAATCACCTCCCATGGTGAGAACTTGGAAATGGGATCCCTTTATAATCACTTCCCATGGTGAACACTTGGAAATAGGATCCCTTTACAATCACTTTTTGTGGTGAACAATTGGAAATATAATCCCTATATAATCACTTCCTATGGTAAGCACTTGGAAATATGAACACACAACAATGATCTTCTGCTTCTTGACATTGCATCTTCTTCTGTCTTCGCCTTTAAAAGGGTGGCTGACACACTGTACTGTGGTTAACAGCTAGGCTATAATAGAGAACCCATATGTAAACTCAGTGACATCTAAAAGTATAGAAAACAGAACTCAGTGACATTTAAAAGTACAGAAAACAGAACTCAGTGACATTTAAAAGTACAGAAAACAGAACTCAGTGACATTTAAAGTATAGAAAAATTACTCAGTGACATTTAAAATCACAGAAAACAGAACTCTGTGACATTCTTAAAGTATAGAAAACAGAACTCTGTGACATTCTTAAAGTATAGAAAACAGAACTCTGTGACATTCTTAAAGTATAGAAAACAGAACTCTGTGACATTCTTAAAGTACAGAAAACAAAACTCTGTGACATTCTTAAAGTATAGAAAACAGAACTCTGTGACATTCTTAAAGTACAGAAAACAGAACTCTGTGATATTCTTAAAGAACAGAAAACAGAACTCAGTGACACTTTAAAGTACAGAAAACAGAACTCTGTGATATTCTTAAAGAACAGAAAACAGAACTCAGTGACACCTTAAAGTACAGAAAACAGAACTCTGTGATATTCTTAAAGAACAGAAAACAGAACTCTGTGACATTCTTAAAGTACAGAAAACAGAACTCTGTGATATTCTTAAAGAACAGAAAACAGAACTCAGTGACACTTTAAAGTACAGAAAACAGAACTCTGTGATATTCTTAAAGAACAGAAAACAGAACTCAGTGACACTTTAAAGTACAGAAAACAGAGCAGTGAAACAAGTCACTAGTAACCTTTCAGTCTCTGTTTCTTGATGTGGTTTGATGAATTCTGCATATCCTGTGCTTGATGCCTTGCTGAAACCCCAGGCTGTACCCCTTCGATTTCTGTCTTGACATTATTCACGGCAGGATCATGGCCGAGTCTCTGGGGCTCGTCTTGATGTGGAGGTATATGGTGCGAGTTTGAATACTGAGCAGAAGCAGGGCTGTATGGCCGGTTACCCTGCCGACATATCTGACTGAATGGGGGAAGGCAGGACGATGACTGTGAGCGATGAGGCTCCATACTTGATGTCACCTCCATTTTGATGTTATGGATCTGATTGTTGCTCGCAGCGGGAAACGCAGAACGGTTATCAAATGATTTCACTACTATAGGCTGATTGTAGTTTTGATGCTGGTGTCCTGTTGAATTCAAACCAGCATGAAACATTGGCTGTTCAACTTTGATCTTTTTTCTCTGCCCATCGGCAGCCACTGGTACATGCAGCTTTTGGTCGGAAGATCTGCTTTGGATATTTGGTTGAAGCATTTGGGGGTTGCCGCTGTGGGATGGGTTTAGGAATACATGCTGTCCACGCTCCATTCCTTTCTTGATCTCTGCATCCCTACGCATGAGTGCCAAAGTCTGTGGTGTGGGAAGATTCTCTCTTTCTGCAGGAGCTGCCGTACTACAAGTAGATCGGTAAATTAGAAAAAACAAAATTAATTAAAGCAATGTGTCCCCATTGTACATTTGATTTAACAAAGAAGATGAGCAAATGAAGAAAGAAGGGTCACAAATTGGGCACGCAGGCCTGTCTTACATTCTGATCTTTAAAACAACCAACTGGCAAACAGCAGTTGTATTTTATCACTAAAGCATGTTATGTTCATATAATAATATGCATATTATGAAAATCAAGAAAAAACACAAAAGCGTGGGTGGTAAAATGCATGAGCACTCACATGTGCACTCACACACCCAAATACGAACAGCCACCAAATCACTCTCACATGCACACACACATACATACACATTCATTCACATACTTACACACACAAACATACATACATACACACACAAACACACACTCATACACACACAAACACACACTCATGTAACATTCACACACTTACAAGGAACAGGCTGCGTACTTTATTGCCTGGCATATTTTAAGATTGCAGCTAATTTGTATTCCAGTGAGGAGCTTTTTATAGATGTTCCTTTACCTGCTTTATTTTAATCAACTGTTTGCCTATGACAGGATACAGTTAAATATGTCAGGCAATAAATTGTGTAATCTGTTGTTGGTGCCTTCTCTAAACAATAAAAATAATGGCTATCCTCCGACTAACAGTCGGTAAAGATGGCGGCTGCAAAATATCCTTTCGAGCCACAGTCCCATGTCAATTGCGCACTAGCGGTCACGAGCGCATGTGGGTCCTAGCCAACTAGTTTAGCCCCATTCCACGCCAAGTGAGCGGCGTGGGGGACATGTGGCGGTGGCAATAGTCGCCGGAGAACGGCAAATTAAGTCACGACTGTGGCTCAAAAGGATATTTTGTGGCCGTCATCTTTGCCGACCGTTAGTCGCAAGATAGGCAAAATAATACATTATAGATTCTTCCGAATTTCTTCTTCTTTGCGCTCACTGGCTGTAAACTCCGGCAAAAATTACTGGTTGTTTATCAACCTCTGGACTTTAAAGACTCACTCCAGATCATGAGTGGTGCATGCATATCTGTTTTACAGATATGACTTACTTTACGCCGACTGTTGGTTCCTTGCCTCTCGAGCAGGTGCGCTCCAATTTCTAAGGAAACCCCAAATTAGTCAACTTTTACGATTGACTTGTTGGGGAGGCAGTGGGTCTTTTCTTGTTTTCCCCCAAAATGGGGTCCTGTAACTCACACTGGGACTTCTTTCAACTGAACTATTTTCTGTATATTTATTTTATTTTTAATTATTAGGAGTTATTCAACCCTTTCAACTGTAAAAATCTTAAGAAATGATATTTTCCAAAATTTTGTTTAAAAAATTAATGCATCATTATAATTTTCTGAAAATCTACCCTAAGAAACTACAGAAAGAGATGAAGAGGCAAAGGAAATTTAGAGTCTAGGTCAGGTGAGCCTGCTAGTTACTGCACAAGGAGCAGAGAAATAACTGCTTTCCTTCTCTCTGATCCAGCAAAACAAAGGTTGAGTTGAGTTGAGTCAAGAATTTACATCACAGCACACGGGGCATTCGCAAGCATGCCTCACCCTCATCTTTAGCAGCCAGCGTAGAGTTCCAATACCGAAGGTACCAGTCACAACCTGGTTATAAGTCTGTCTTGCCTTTCCTCTGAGTGTAATGAGCCGGCCAGGCCCTCTGGTTACACACAGTTGCCTCATTTTATCCAAGCCATAATAATCTTGTTTCTTAACTGATTCTGTTGCTTGTTTCTAAAGGGCCTTGACTGCATCTGCCTTGTCATGCATCAATTCACCAACCTGTGGTGCAGATCCAATCAATCTGTCTGCCTGTTCACTACCCACCATGCCGGCATTGCCTGGAGAAAAGATCCACAGTATGCTCACTACCCGTCACCTTTCCAGGTTTTGTTGATACAGCCACATAAAGCAAAGTGAGATCATCATAAATATATTATGACCCCAACAATGACACATGCAAATTGATTTGTCACCCCAAATATGGAGAAAACAGGAAAAGACGTCTTGCCTTCAAAGTTGATTAACTAGGAGTTTCCTTTGAAGTGGAAGTGCATCTGCCTGAGAGGCAAGGAACATACAGTCTGCATACAAATAAACCAGATCCGTAAAATGGACAAGCACACAAAACTTAAATTCTGGAACAAGACTAAATGTAAATCCAAAAGTGGACGAACATCCAGAACTTTTCCCCAGAGTTTATAGCTGGTGAGCGTGGAGGAGGAGGAGAAGTAGAAAAAGAAGAAGAAGGAGAAGTAGGAGAAGGAAGAGAAGAAGAAGAAAAAGAAGAAAAAGGAGGAGGAAGAGAAGAAGACAATGAAGAAGCACAAGAAGGAGAAGTAGAAAAAGAAGAAGAAGGAGAAGTAGGAGAAGGAAGAGAAGAAGAAGAAAAAGAAGAAGACGAAGAAAAAGGAGGAGGAAGAGAAGAAGAAGACAATGAAGAAGCACAAGAAGGAGGAGGAGGAAGAGTATGAGGAGGAGGAGGAGGAGGAGAAGAAGAAGAAGAATCACAAAAAGGACTGACTTCTATAGCTGTTATTATTTGCTGTTGAAGATACACACAAACTCGTTATATTTATTTCGCTGACTCCCAAAGATAGAGAAAGTAATGCAAGCTACCTGTTGTAAAGAGAGAAGAGGTACTCCAGCAAGTTGTTGGCATCCAAGCAGGTGTCGTGCATGGTCGTCTCAAAACGATGGAATATGTCTTTCCTCACAAGAATGGCTCCCAACAGCTGTTCGGGATTGGATGGCATGGTGGTCGCCTGAAACATACAGGCACAGGTATTATTCTACTTATAGCAGGTCTCTCAACAGGGGATTAGTTAATTAGTCAACAGATATCCACACTGCACATTGAACCACTGGGAGCCGCAGAGGTGTAACAGCTAGACACTTGCATCTGAATGAATGAATGGACCTTGGCTTTCAGATCAAGCCAGTCTTAAATGGGTGCAAGGTAAGGACCTGGGAAGTAAAAGCGGCTGGCGTGATGTGAAAATAACCCACCGAGTGCTGATGTGTCTATGCAATAAAGGTCTAGCACCTTATGCCCGAAACATCTAAAGGCGTGGTAAAAAAGGTTGTTTATATAGAAACATTCAGTCCTTAAGTACTCAGATCCTCTCCTCAGTAAATCCTGCAGCGCGTAGCAGCTGTAGGCACACATTCTGTGTTGGTTTTTTATTCTTTTGCTTCCTGCATAGTCCCAGGTCAACCCAGCCTTGAGTGGGTACCAGGTGCAGTCCTGGGAAGTAAAGGGGGCTGGCGTGATGCTGACCACAACACCCATCTTGTGCCGATTGGTCTATAAAAATATAGGTCTAGCCCTATATGCCCTCTACGCCTAAAGGCGTGGAAAAGGGACCTTTACTTTACTTTCCTGCTTAGTGCTCTTGTTTGGTGACACCCTTTTTAAACTGCCGTTCATGCAGTCTGGTCATGATTGCAGATTCACTGTCCCTTGGTTCTCGCAAACCTCTTACTCTCCCACAGCGTTCAGTATATCACCTTGGTCCTTGGCTCATCCGCCCTTCACTCTAGCCTTACATGCAAGCTCATCAGCTTGATCATTTCCTTGTGTGCCTGCATGCCCTGGCATGACAACAATTTTAACTCTTCGCTTACTGTTAAAGATGGGGACGGAGTGCTTATGGGGGTGTCCTGAGTGTTGTGATGTTGATTCTTAATTCAACATGCATAGCACCTGCAAGTGAGTTAAAGTAAACATTTTCAGATCATGCATCTTTCCTGTGGCAACTTATGGACATAGCCATGGACTGTTGCTCAAACAAGGAAGAAATAAATTACAGCTTTGAAACTGAAGTACTATAGAACAACTCTTAGAAAATAAAACATCAACATCCAACATTATCTGAGCATCGAGGAGAACTGGCTCATAAACAACATCCAGTTCCGAAGGCTGGGATATCTTGGCCATGTTAAACATCATGGTGACCTGGAGAGAGCAGTGATCAAGTTTCTAGAAAACGAGGCACAGACAGATCTCCCTGAAGGACATTGAAGATGAGTTGGCTATAAAAGTTGGCTATAAAAGTTGACTATAAAAGCTGGCTATAAAAGAGCTCAGGCCCGGAGAATCAGCTAGAGAAATAGAGACTTTTGAGGCTTTCTGTGACAAAATCAACATTCTGTAAAGTCCTGATGACTGAAGGGTCTCTACCTACCATTTTCTGCATGCCTTGTGCCGTAGCTGGTGTCCAACAAAGTCCCAGCATAGTCTTGACGTTTCGACTACCACAACATAAATGGCTCAATCTTTCAAATTTACAACAGTTGAAATATTATCCTATAATGCTTCAATCCCGCTGCAATTGCTTCATTGTGGTTCACTCTCAACTAGCAGGTTCTAGTCTGCAAGTAACAACAGCCATATTTGCAAATGGAAATGTCAATACTTCGAGGAAATAAGCAGTTTCGGATTCTTGATTCTGCAGATCCGAGATTGTTACAAATTGTAGTACAGTAGTAGTAAGAGTTCAAATCTTGCCCATCTCTATAATACAAGAATAAGCTTTGCAGTTTACTATGGTGATGAGTTGTTTCAATATATCTTAATCCAACTTGCAAATCTAACGTTCAGTATTTTATCGCTACGTTATTATGCCGTGGTGATTTAACATGATTAAATTATCGTTACATTACAAGAGGCAGAATCAAGAACTGGCCTAGTCTAGCAGTAGTGCCAGTAGTAGGCACTTCGACACTTCGTCGACTGCAACCAAATTTCAGCTAAGGACAGAATAGTCTTAGTTTATTAACAAGATAATTCCATTGAATGAACAATGAAAAAGTTTAAATTCGTGCACACAGGCTAAAAATTACTAAAATTCTAACACATTTATGATAAATCTCAGCTCATCCGACAGCAGACTGTCAGATTCGTCTGGCCCGCTGATAGCAATACAACCATAGCAAACTTTCCCAGGACGGAAGACGCTCTTCACAGACGGAGACAGTAAATTTAAAATATATGAATGTGACTATACTCCTATTTTCTTCTTGATGTCCTCTTTTACCGCTTCGGGTGTCGAGGGAGATATAATGTTCATTTTTATTTTTGGCTGCTTCGACCATAGACACATCATGGCACTGTAGAGTTTTTTTAATGTTATCTTTCCATGGGTTTTTGGTCTACCTCTTGCTCTACGTTCCTCTCCTCTTTTGGTATATTCCTTGAATGGTATAGCATCAGAAGGCATTCTCTCCAAGTTGGCAAACTATTTGATTTGATGTCTTTCTATGTAATTTAGAATTGGTTCTGTGCCAATTCTATCTATGACCTCACTCCCGATTTTATCTCTTCTTATCACTCCACAACCTTTCTCAGACACGCCATTTCCATGGTTACTAATTTTCTTGTATGTTTTTTTGTGAGTGACCACGTCTAGCATTGGTAGAATAGGATGGGAATGAATATGCTTGGTATGAGATGTCTCTCTGTGCATACTGGGAATGCCTTACGCTGTAAGAGGGGAACTACACTCTTTAATTGTAAATAATTAATATTGCTAACACCGTCCCAACATGGGTTGCACTTTTTTGGGTCAGTTCCATGATAATCTGACTGGCTGACTTTCTACCCCACCAGGACATCATTCAAGCGATAAACACCCGATGACACAATGTGCCACCATGTGGATGAGGATCGCCCGTGGAGAGGTCCCAGAAACCGCCTTCAACCATTAGGCCATATTTATGGCCTGGCTATATTACGGCCCCCGGCAAGCGCCAGGGTGGTGCTTCAAATGATGAAAAATGTCATCCTAAAAAGGACGGTGACTATAGGAATCATAAACACGATGATCACCCCACGGACAGAAAATATAGACACTAGCTCACTTTTGATTGGTGGACCTTTAATAACCCGACCTTCGCACACTGCTACGGGGGTGTTCGGCAATGACGTTGGTATCGCGTGTTATATATTTTACAACGCCAGCGCTTTTAACACTACAAAAACAATTAGAAACTGGGTCTAACACTCAACTCCCCTAGAGAGTGCTACAACCTATGTCACAGGCATTCTCTTTCTCGGAAGAAAAACGTAAATGCAAGTTACTCAACTCATAACTCAGGTTTTTTGCAGTCTAGGTCAGGTTGAACATCACCCACTCACTCACTCATACATTAAACTCATACGCTATGAGATATTGCACGATCAAACATAATTAGAAGACATAAATAGCCATTACTAAAATATTTAAAAACAACTGCATATCCCAATTATAACCCGAATAGGTTAAATCGGAAATTGTTGTTTAAATTATTAATAGTTGTATGCAGCTAGAAATAAAAAACCAATTGCAGAAAGAAAACAAAAACAACATAATAAAAAACATAGTCCTAAAACTATACTAGCGTGATTTGTTGAAGGCAAGAGGCTGATAGCGATACAAATGGTAAGACAACACCAAGAAAAGAGCAATGTGTGAGAGTACAGAAAGCAAAGGACAAAGTACGTTAAAGATCCATTACAGTCAACATTCATAATAGAGCGTTTATCTCAGAAAGGACGATTGGTGCGTTGAACTGAGGCTCTCTGATTTCTGGGACTTTCGGCCTAATACAACGATTTCAGCAGATCTTAATTAGTAGCCTCTTGGTGCATGCTTGGTGTTGTTGTTCATCCATCACGAGTGATGAAGACCACTTTCATCCAAAGTAGCATAGGTGATAACGAGATGAAAGTGACTTGCACAAGGACTTTGATTTAAGAGAAGAAGAGTTGTGCAATTCGTCGACCTCACTCTCTTGCTTGCGTCCCTCTTGATTTCTTCTTTTTCTTCTTCACTTCCTCATTTACCGCTGCGGGTGTCGAGGGAGATATAAGGTTCTGTTTCTAGCTCTTCTGGCCGCCTCGAACATAGGCACATCGTGCTGTTGTAGAGTTTCTCTGATGTTATCCTTCCATCTTGTTCTTGGTCTACCCCGTGCTCTACGTCCTTCTTCTCTTTCCATGTATGCTTTGTATGGTAAAGTGTCACAAGGCATTCTCTCTAAGTGGGCAAACAATTTCACTTGCTGTCTTCGTATGTAATTTAGAATTAGTTCTGTGCCGACTTTTTCTCTTATGATCTCATTCCTGATCTTATCTCTTATGGTCACTCCTACAGCCCTTCTCAGACATGATTACCAATTTTCTTTTATGGTTTGTTCAGAGTGACTATGCCTGGCACTGGTAGCACAGAGTTGGAATAAATATGCTTTGAATAAGATGTCTTTTTGTGCTGATTGCGATTGTCTTATGCTGTAAGAGGGGGGGGGGGGGGGGAAGGCTAGCTGTCCCAATACTTGGTTTGCATTACTGCATCTAATGTTAATTTCTTTATCCAATTTCCCATCTTCGGTAAATGTAGTTCCCAGATATTTAAACTCAGATGCCTGTTTAATGCCTTTGCTCTCTATTGCTATGTTTAGACCTGTCTTCTTTTTTCCTATTGATATTACTTCTGTCTTTTCAGAGTTGATTCTCATATTATTTGTTTTACATTCTTCATTCATGGATGTTAGATGTTGTTGCAATTTCATGGCTGTATCTGATATCAAGGCCTGGTCATCTGCAAAGAGTAATTCGTTGATCTTACTAAAATTTTCATTCATGGGATTGGCATTCTTGCATATACTGTCGATGTAGGCGATAAACAGCGTTATTTAATGGCAAGATAATGTCGAGACTATTGAAAATAGATCAAGGTACAGTGGATGACCAAGGTGTCTTACGTGCCCTGCCTTGCTCGAAGCTCTCCACACAGAACCTGCTGGTAATTTGCCCTTTTGTCCGTGGAACACTATAAGGTTTCATCCGCACAATCTGCCGAGTCCAGTTTTTGCATGCAAGGTAGGCATATCACAATCAACGAGTGGTTTAGATCCAGGTCGGCTACCCTCTCTTGGTTTAGCCAACCCGTCAAAGCTGTTGCCAGGGTAATAGGGTGAGGGGTTGGGGGGGGGGGGGGGGGGTGGGTGGCATGCTTGGTAAGGAGTAGTGGAACGATTATTTTCACCCACCTCAAAAAAACAAAATAACTGAGGCCTCACAACCTATACGAGGAGAAATCATCAGCATTGTCCTCTTGTGCCATTATATGTCACACATGTTTTGCAGTCCATTCCTCCATTCCTTTCTATCCTGAGTAATCAGTCAGAAGAAAAAGAAGTGCCGGAGGATATGGAATCAGGTGAAGAATAATAATAATAAGAAAAAGAAGATGAAGAAGAAGAATTGGCGGAGGATATGGAAGCAGGAGGAAGAGAAGAAGAAGAAGAAGAAGAAGAAGAAGAAGAAGAAGAAGAAGAAGTGGTGGAGGATATGGAAGCAGGAGGAAGAGAAGAAGAAGAAGAAGAAGAAGAAGAAGAAGAAGAAGAAGAAGAAGAAGAAGAAGAAGAAGAAGAAGAAGAAGAAGAAGAAGAAGAAGATGCAACAGCTAGTAGGCGAAAACGTATGTGAGAGGATACTTTTGTTGAGTTGAGTTGATTCATATCAGAACACTCGGGACAGTCCCATGCATACTCCGTCCTCATCTACAGCAGCCAGTCCAGAGTTCCAATACTCATGGTACCGGTCACAATCTGGTTATATACTTCTGTGTGCGAAGTTAACGTTAGGCCATCTAGGATTCTTCCTAAAGACGCAGAAGAGTTCCACAAGAATATCTCCGACCTTTGATCTGCTAGTAGTTATAGTAGACTACTACAACTTTAGTTTGCACTAATTTAGAGTTACGATTATACTATTATAGGGCTGCCTGCAAAAATGCCGTTACGATATTATTTTGATATGCTATCCCAGCCATCCAGGACCGTTTATATATTTTTGCGGCTGAATAATGTTCCATTTGAACCGAAACTTGTAGCTCTGAGAAAAGGTATGTCTGTTGGCTCTCCCTCGAACTTCTACCCCATATTATGGCGGCCAAACAATGCAGACACAGTCATAGAGCAATGCAGACACAGTCATAGAGCAATGCAGACACAGTCATAGAGCAATGCAGACACAGTCATAGAGCAATGCAGACACAGTCATAGAGCAATGCAGACACAGTCTTAGAGCAATGCAGACACAGTCTTAGAGCAATGCAGACACAGTCTTAGAGCAAAACAGACACAGTCTTAGAGCAAAACAGACACAGTCTTAGAGCAATGCAGACACAGCCATAGAGCAATGCAGACACAGTCTTAGAGCAATGCAGACACAGTCATAGAGAACTAGACACACATTTCATTCAAGAACACCTGAATAAAGGGGTCTTGTTAGCGCAGTCGATAGGAGACTCACTTTCAAATCCAGCTGCGACTCGCTGCAGCCCACGGCCAGTGTTTGAAACTGGGCGGTTCCCAGTGTTTACCCAGCCTCTAGAAAATGTGTACCAGAGTGAACATTCTAGGGTAATCAAGGAATGTTGCTGTAGCTATGGAGTTTTGTGCGGATGACAACACAGGCAGACAGTTTCTTATCAGCTGGTCGTACTGGTGGCAGAGCACTTATGGTTTATAACCCTGTGCAATGACACTGGTTCACATCTCCCGACTTTACCTTTCACCTTTACACCTTGGGACACTTGAGAAGAGAGACATTGGAGAACATCGTGACAACTGAAAAGATCAGTGTAAAAAGGGGTAGAGGCAGACCAAGAGATAGATGCTGGATGGGCTAAATCAATGGCATGGAGGGATATCATCAAGAGAGCTGTTCCAGACAACCAGGAATCGTGATCAGTGGAGATGCTTGTGCGCCTACGCCAGTTGGCAGGGCACATGATGATGATGACGAAACTTGACAGTAGTTCCCTGGTACCAGCTACCGTAAAAAGTCACATTTAAAAAAAACAAAGTGAACACAGAGCAAGGAGAAGACCATGGCATATGATAAAATGGCCATTGAGAAATTAAGACAAACTACAGTGTGTATTGGGAGCCACCATGGGGTTCTCAACTTTTGTAGGTTGAACAACCCTTTTACATGGGTCACCGGTAAAACGAAAGTTGTAGTAGTACTTTTACCCCACCATGACATCACACAAGCGATAAACACCCGATGTCACATAGTGCCACCATGTGCATGAGGATCACCTGTGGAGAGGTCCCAGAAACCGCGTTCAGCCATTAGATCATATTTATGGCCGGGCTATATAGCGGCCCCTGGCAGGAGCCAGGATGGGCTTCAAAATAACGAAAAATTGCATCTCACAAGGAGATGACTGGGGTGAGGGTAAAACGAAAAATAATCTCCCCATTTTTCATACTGGTACACGCTATCTTGCATCTGATTGGTTGGCCTCGAGCCGTCCGACTTTCACACAAGATGACGGGTTGTTCCGTAATTTAGTCAATATTGCGTGTTGTAAATTTCACAATGCCGGAGCTTTTAACACTCCAGAAAACATTTAGAAACTGAGTCTTACACACAACACCCCCTAGAGAGTAATGAAACCTATGTCACTGGCAGTCTCTCTCTCCAAATGAAAATGTAAATGCAACACAACAACATACTGTTCCACCCATAACCTCGACCACGATAGACTAGTCCAACAAACTTATCAATGAAATTGACCTACTTTTCGTGGGGAGATTAACGTTTGTATAACCTGGTCACCAAAGACCATCAAAAAACACATATTCACTGAAGTTATGAAGTAGCAACAACAATAACTGTATGGTTGGGGGTCAACACAGCATGAGGAAATGTGTTGAATGGTAGCCGCACCACTAAGGTTGAGAGCCACTGGTGTTGTGGCTGGATACTAACTAACCTGCAGATATGAAAGTTGTGAGTTCAAATCTGAATGGTGCCTGATTTAAAAAAAAAAGCAATTACCTTAGCTGTAGGGCTGACCCAGCCTTAAATGGGTACCAGGTAAAGTCCTGGGAAGTAAAGGCAGTCGGTGTGGTGTTGAACACATCACCCACCGAATGCCAGTTGGTCTGTATAAATATAGGTCTAGCACTATATTTCCAATGGTAGTTAGCATCCTTTGGATATTTTCTCCAGGTTATGTCAATGTGGTGGGAAATGAGCAGGCAGATAGACTAGCTGGCTCTGCACCACTTGGTGGTGAATTGATGTATGACAAGTTACATTTTGTGAGGGCCCTTTGGGAACGAGTAAACATCATTATGGTCTAAGGAAAATGGCGCTGTGAGGAGTTGCCAGGGGACCTGGCCGAGGCTCAACACTCAGGGGAAGGATGAGACAGATATACCAATGGAATTGGAACTTTTTACTTGCTGCTGAAAATATGGGACTGAGCACGTATGAGAGTGTCACGAGTGCTGTGATGTTGATTCTTAATTCAACATTCAACATTCCCAATACACCTAAAAGCATGGGAAAGGATCCTTTAAGTGTGTGTTGGAAAGAACAGATAGAAGATCTAACACTTTACTGAGGTAAATGAAGGAAGATGCTACAGTCTTGGTATTTGAGACTTATAAGTACCTAATATGTTTACTCGTCGGCGTCTGTGGCTTAGGCGCTACGAAAGCACTTTGCAGTGCCGGGGTGCCTGGTTTGATCCCAGCTGCGGGCACTGGTTTCGACAGTGGTATCGAGAAGCCGACCACCCAGAAAGCAGTGGCAAACTACTGGACGTAAACTTGCCTAGAAAAACCACAACAGCCAAAAAATGCTGGGGTTAGTTTTGCAACGTCCTGTAAAGGATACACAACTAACTAACTATGTTTACTTGTCCATGTAACAGGTGAACACAAGAGTGATGAATATAAACAGATTAACCCTTTTGGACTTGTTCCTGCTATTGATGATGATGGTTTTAAACTAACGGAGAGGTAACACAAAAACTTGTTTTCTTTGTCTTAATTTCTGGCAATGCCTTATGCATTATAATTGCTGCCTCCATCGAGTATAAACTGCATTTCCTGTTTCAGACTGTTTGTGTTGGTACTTCTGATGGCCCCTTTATGCATTTAATGTGTGTGTAAGCTACTGAATTTGCCGAGACTGCAGTCTGTGTCAGTTATTTTTTCCCCACTAGTAAAATGCTCTGTAATTGGCGGCAATGAGTTGTCTTTTGCAGTACATCGTTTTAGGCCTCCTGCAGATTGGGAGGCATTAAGAAGTAGTTGTATAACTAGAATGTCTTTGCACGGGAACTGACAGGGGCATAGAAATAAAGGAAGACCAAAAAACACATGAAGAAGGGAACTAGAGAGTGAAGTTAAAAAGATGGGGAGGACATGGGGAGTGCTGCATGCGATAGTAGTAAAGGATAGAACAACTTTGTGTGAGTTGGTTGATGACCTATACTCCACTGGGGGCAAGAAAGGCAGGAGTAGTAGTTTAACTTGGGCACTGTTCCTAATGATGTATTCACTACTGATGTATTCATGTTATTTTTTTCTTGGCACAGGAAGAGAGCATCTATGGGATTACCTTATTTGCTATGAAGTTGGAACTGTGATTACCTCATTTCTTTTCTTTTTTATCTTGTGGTGTCATGTCACCACCGCAATGGAGACCTGATGGAGCACCCACTACTGTCTTTATGAGTATTATGTGATGAGGCCCAGTCTCTTCCACTGTGCAACTCTCATACCGTGTGAACAAAGAATACACAGACAATAGATTGCACAGTTTATTGCCTGGCATCTTTTGCTGTATTTTATCAGTAACAATTGATTAAAATGAAGCAAATAAATAAATCCTTCCAATTAAAACACAAAATCAGCTGCATTCAAAAACTGTCTGCTTCACCAGGGCCAACGCAAGATGCAGAGCATGTCCTTTTGTCTGTCTTTTTTAAATGTAGTCGGTTCAAAGAATTCATTTATTTGTTTCATTTTAATTAATGAATACTGTAGTAAGCACCAGACAAGATAAGCAAAATATGCCAGGCAATAAATTGTGTATTCTGTTGTTGGTTCTTTGTTCAAATTCACAATAGGGAAACATTGCTTGGATTCTCATACCATTGTCTGAAGCCACTTAACCACTTGTTTTTTGTTTTTCCCTACATAGTCTGCTAAAAAGCGTCTTAGTTTGAACAGCAGAGAAACACAAGAAATGGTAATTACTAAAAAAAAAATTGACCCTCCCAACTGCAACATCAAAGTAAATGGGACACACCTTAATCAAGTTGATATGTTTAAGTACTTGGGTACCCTGATAACATCAGATGGAAGATGTATTAGGGAAGTTCAGTGTCGAGTAGCTCAAGCAAAGGCTGCATTTTACATAAGGAAGAATATTGTATGCAATCTGTCAATTGAGACAAGAAAGAGAATTCTTAAAAGTAATATAAATCCTGTATTGATATATGGATGTAAATCATAGACGGATAGTAAATTAATGAAAATGTATTTGGAAGCTGCAGAGATGTCTGGTCTGGTAGTCTTAGTTTCAACTTCATAGCAAACGGGTCACCCCATAGTTGCTCCGCTCCTGTGCCAACAAAAAACACACAAAACTCACAGATGTGGTTTTATAGATGAGTGATGAGAATACACTGGACTATAAAAAGAGTAATATGGATGTCTTGAAAGAAACGGACTAACAAAGAGAACTGATTGCCCACATCAGAAATAGACAATCATCATTCTTTGGTTATGTGACGAGAAGGAGAAAACTGGAGTACATCATGACGGTTGGAAAGTTGGTGTGGAGGAGAGGCAGAGAGAAACCTAGAGATGCTTGACAATTTGACATCATGGCATGGAAGATTATCTGTTTCAGAGTTGATTGAAGGTACATGAGACAGAAGGTTGTGGAAAGACATGACTACCAACGTCACACGGCTTTGACTATGGAAGATCGTCTGTGTCAGCAGAGTTGACTGAAAGTACACAAGACAGAAGGTTGTGGAAAGACATGACTACCAACACCACACGGCATGAACTATGGAAGATCGTCTGTGTCAGAGTTGATTGAAAGTACACAAGACCGAAGGTTGTGGATAGACATGACTACCAACACCACACGGCATGAACTATGGAAGATCGTCTGTGTCAGAGTTGATTGAAAGTACACAAGACCGAAGGTTGTGGATAGACATGACTACCAGCGCCACACGGCATGAACTATGGAAGATCGTCTGTGACAGCAGAGTTGATTGAAAGTACACAAGACAAAAGGTTGTGGATAGACATGACTACTAACGTCACATGGCATGGACTATAGAAGATCGTCTGTGTCAAGAGTTGATTGAAAGTACACGAGACAGAAGGTTGTGGATAGACATGACTACTAACGTCACATGGCATGGACTATGGAAAATCGTCTGTGTCAGAGTTGATTGAAAGTACACGAGACAGAAGTTTGTGGATAGACATGACTACCATGGACTATAAGAAGAAAAACTTGATCTGCTGCAGAAATTGAGGGTCTGGTGCTTGAAGATTAGAAAGTATGATCACGAACTACTAAATCACAGAACTACACCTTCTTTTTCATCTTCTTCTTCTTCTTCTTATTTTTTTTCCTGTTTTCCAAATAATATAATATTTATTTTGTGTGTGTGTGTCTGTTTACACCAGAGTTGCAGTTACTTTCCTTTTAGCCAATCAACAAAGACTCATTAAAACTCATTTAAAACAGAGGTTGGTGAAGATGAGTTATCTTACAGGGTCAGGTCACAAATACTCAAGATATCTTTTCACATTCGTCTTCTTGGTATTTTCTACTGCTCTTTTACATTGTTTGTCTTGGTGTTTTCTGTTTCTCTGTCATAAACTTCCTAGTTCTTTCTACCCCTTTCAGATTCTTTTCTTTTCTCGGTTTTTCCTACTTTTCTTTCTTTCACATTTTTCTTTTTGGTTATGAGATTTGTCAAAGAATTATGTGATATAGCAAGGACAGGAAAGATCAAAATGGATGCAATAGGAAAGAGATTTAAAAAAAAAAAAAACAACAACAAAATTATAATATGAGAGATTATGACTTTCAGAAGATAGCTGGTAAATTGAATATTTGTTCTCCATTTTTTATTTCAGCATAGCCATCCTGAAGTACATCATTAATAAAAATGGCCTACCTGATCATTGGTATCCACAAAAAAACCTCAAGAAGCAAGCTCGAGTTGAAGAATACCTTCATTGGCACCACTTCAACACCCGAGCAAAGTGTGCACTCTTGTTTCAACAGTTGGTAGGGCCCATTTTATGATTAGTCTGTCTTTTCTTCTTCTTCTTCTTATTTTGCAAGTATCTTCTTTGTGTCACAAGACATCACAATTTAACGGACAATAGGTAGCTGAGCCAGGGCATACTCAGTTGCATGGTACGCATATTATGTAGTAGTAAGCTGTTGGTGGCTCCTTCGGGCTGTCGGTGGCTCCTTCGGGCTGTCGGTGGCTCCTTCGGGCTGTCCGTGGCTCCTATGGGCTGTCAGTGGCTCCTAAGGGCTGTTGGTGGCTCCTTTGAGCTGTTCGTGGCTCCTTCGGACTGTCTGTGGCTCATTTAGGCTGTCGGTGGCTCCTGTAGGCCATTAGTGGCTTCTTCGGGCTGTTGGTGGCTCCTTTGGGCCATCAGTGGCTCCTTCGGACTGTCGGTGGCTCCTTTGGGCTGTTGGTGGCTCCTTCTGGCCGTCAGTGTCTCCTTCGGGCTGTCAGTGGCTCTTTCTGACTGTCAGTGACTCCTTCAATCTTTCTTCTTCTAGACCAGCATTGTTGGGTTCATTCTCACCGGATGGCCAAACCATTCAGTCTTTGTTTTGTGGTGAATTTAATTACGTTTTTTTTTCCAAAATTTCTTCTAATCTCTCTGTTCCTCACACAGTCTCTTCTGCTTTTGTTCACAGCGTTTATGAAACCTCTCATTTCACAGGTGGTTAATTTCCTTTTACGTTCTTAGGTTAACGTCCAGGTGAGGAAAAAGAGGAAGAGTACAGTGTATGTAAAACCAATGTGCTATGGGAATAGTTAGTGAGAACATCTTAAGACATTAGCTGAAGCAAATGGAGCATCTATGGATGTGCTATGTTGTCAAATTATGGATGACCTTTCTTAACATTGGCAGGTTTTGCGAGTCACACTCGCCATCTCCATGGGCTGTGAGTCCCCTGCCTCCTCCTAGCGCAATATAACACTATTGTCTGCCAATCTGTGATGTTATTTCTGAAGTCAGTAAAATCAGTAAATATGTCCAAGCCTGACACCAGTAAAGTAAATCAGTAAATATGTCCAAGCCTGACACCGGTAAAGTAAATCAGTAAATATGTCCAAGCCTGACACCGGTAACCTAAAGTTGAAATGAAGACTATAATTTATCTCTTAATCCCTTTACGTTTACTGGCTGTAACCTCCAGCAGACAGTTATGGTTGTTTACCCACTTAGTCTTGTTCCAGAACCTAAGTTTTGGTGCACATCCATTTTACAGATCTAACCTTTTGGTATGCAGACTGTTAGTTCCCAGCCTTAGTTATCTCCTGCTTGTTAAGAGACCGTGGGGCTGTTATTTGTTCCCCAAAATATTGCCCTGAAACCCAAACAAGGACTCTGGTATCTCATTTCACATGTGTTAATTGTGTGTCCAAGTTATTCTTTCATTAGTATAAGTACAAAGAATTATTTTGGCTGCAAATCAGAGAAAAGAAAAAATGATACAAATGGTGAATATTAAACCAGAATTTCAGTTCAATGGAAACAAATTGTAGACACCAAAACTAACTCTGAAATTTGTTTTAAAGTAACCAAAACTGGTAGGAGTGATCAGAAGAGATAAAATCAGGAATGAGGTCATATGAGATATAGTCGGAACAGGAATTACATACAAAGACAGCAAATCAAATGGTTTGTCCACTTGGAGAGAATACCTTCTGATGCTATACCATTCAAGGCATATACCAAAAGAGAAGAGAGATGTAGAGCAAGGGGTAGACCAAGAACAAGATGTTGAGATTAACTAAAGCACTGAGATTGTATCTGTGGTCAAAGCAGCCAGAACCTCATATCTCCCTCAACACCAGAAGCGGTGAAAGAGGACGTAAAGAAGAAGAAGAAGTCATCATGGATTTTGAGGTTCTGAGCTAAACCATGTTTAAAAATTAAACATAAGATAGGTATTGACTGTTTCCATGACATAGGCAAATCAGACTTATAGGCCTATCAGTATTTGATGGTTATCATGGTGAAACATTGCACTGAATGCCTTTACTTTCCATGGCATTTTCTGGTACCCATTCAAGCTTTGTCAACCTGAGAGCCAATGTTCCCTGTAGGTTCTAGAGTTCCTTTGTGGCAAAAACAAGAATAGACTCACTGCCCGCAACATTTAGGTTCTAGAATGGGACTGAAGTCCAGAAGGGGACAAACAACCAGAACATTCCTCCAGAGTTTACAGCTGGGGAAGGCGAAGAAGAAGAAGAAGATTGTAAACAAAAATCCATGCAATGTAGATCTGATCCCCAGACATTTTGGGTGGGTTCTGAATTGTATTTTCTGATAAAAGTAAAATGCTCAATAACTGGCGGCAATGAGTTTCTATTATTGCAGAACATTGTTTTAGGCCCCTGCTGATTTGGAGGCATTAAGAAGTAGTTGTATAACTATAATGTCTTTACACTGGAACTGACAGGGGCATAGAAATAAAGGAAGACCAAAAAAAAATAAAAAACACGGAGAAGGGAATTAGAGAGTGAAGTTAAAAAGATGGGGAGCGCTGCATGGGATAGTGAAAGGTGGAACGACTTGGTGTAAGTTGGTTGAGGGCCTTTACTCCGTTGGGAGTTAGAAAGGCAGAAAGAGTAGGTTAACTTGGACACTGTTCCTGATGATGTATTTTTGTTATACTTCTATTGCAGCTGATTATTCCAAGAGCTACAGGAAAACCAGTCAACCAGGAGAAAGTAAGCAACTGCAGAAAAGAAGTCACTAAAATGGTCGAGGATCTGGAATCTTACTTTCTGAAAAATACCCGTTACCTTGGAGGGGATGAGCTGTCTATTGCAGACTTGCTGGGCACCTGTGAACTATTGCAGTTGTACGGGGTCCATGAGCAGGGATTGTATGAAAGCTCACCGACAGTCAAGGCTTGGATTGAGAGAGTGCGGCAAGATACCAACCCAATATTTGATGAGGCACACAAAATGGTTGCCAGAACTCATGATGTGTATAAACAGATTTCTGCTAAATTATAGGACTGGTTTCCATCCATTACATTCTAAATGTATTGAGGGCCCTTTGGGAGTGAGTGAACAGTGTGGAGGCACAAATAAATCATTACTGTATGAGGAGAATGGTGCTGTGGGCAGTTAATAGGGGGTTTGGCCGACGCTCAACACTTAAGGGGAATGTGAGACGGATATACAATCAGACAGTTACTGGTACCATTGGAATTGGAACTTTGCTTTCTTTCTGCTAAAGATGGGGACAGAGCACTTAAGGGAGTGTCCCAAGTGCTATGCTGTTTATTTTTAATTCAACATTCTAATGGTTTCCATCCATAACTCATGTATGTACTGAGATTGTTGCTAAATTTTAGTAATGGGGATGAGGGAGGCCAAAGGGTGCTTTGTTAATATCCTACCCCAAACAGGGGAAATCCACAGGTCATGGGACAATCTATTATTTCAGGGAGTGGTAGATAGGCTGCATGCAGTCGTTGGACCTAGGCTGCACTCTCTCGTGAGATGTTGGTGGGTTGGGGTAAAGACCAGTTCCAGATGTTTCGGGGTCTTTAAAAGCACCAAAAAGCCAGGAAACCCAGTCTTAACACCCTCTAAAATATTGGACTGTCCTATGATGTCATCTGGGGGTAGGATATTAATAAAGCACTGGCCAAAGTCGCTGGACTGGATTTGAAGCTGTAGCTTGTTAAAAAGTAAACTTTAAATTGCAAATTACCTTTTCTATGCTACTGGCAATGCTTAGCGGTGTATTGGGAAATGAGCAGGCAGATAGACTGGCCGGTTATGCACCACTGCGAGGAGTTACCAGGGAATTTGGCCGACACTCGGGGGAAAGGGGAGATGGATATACAATCAGACAGCTACTGATACCATCCAAATTTTAACTCTTTGCTTGCTGATGAAGATGGGGATGGAGCGCTTATGGGGGTGTCGCAAGTACTGTGATGTTGATTCCTAATTCAACATTGGCATCCATAATATGAAAAAGATTGGGCAGAAATCATTGTTTAGAATAGACTGCAGACTTGTATTATGAACAGTGCAAAAGGAAGAGCTGCAAAATCATCAGAACAGATGTGTTTAAAAAGAATGTTGATATATTTTATAGAGCCTTAAAATTGTTAGAGCTTCTGATATTTGTAAACAATTTGTTGCTCGGTTATGAAGCTAATAAGTTGTCAGATTTCATGTGTATTAACATATTATATTTACAGTTGTCAGAATTCTTTGTAAACATATGGTTACTAAAATATAAAGCTAGAAAATTATCAACCCTGGTGTGTTTATGACCAACGTACTGCAATCGAAACCCACTGCTGGCTGCATGGATTTTTATCATGGTATGAGGCGTCGCAGGTCGACCCAGCCTAAAATGGGTACCAGGATGTATGTCCTGGGGAAGTAAAGATGGCCGGTGTAATTGCTGACATTACCCACCTAGTGTTGATTGGTCTGTAAAAGTATGTGGGCTCTTCCCATATGCCCAATAGGCCTAAAGGTGTCAAAAGGGATCTTTACTTTGTGCTTATGACCTGATAGAGAGCTGGAAGCCAGAGTACAGAAGGCAAATGCTCTCACCTACCAGTTATCCCCCCCTGCTTAGATACACAAATGTCTCCCTTCCAGCAAAACAGCAAATGATTAATATAATCTTGATCCCTACTTGATGTTATCAGTGCCAAATGTGGACAATGAATAGGGCACTAGAACAGAAAATAACTACATGTGAAATGTGCTGTCTCCGCAAGGTCACTAACAACACAAGAAGAGACAGGGTTATGAATACCAGCATTATAGAGAAAGTTGGAATAAGACCGTATCTGCATTATATTGACAGACAAAGAATGAAATGGTTCAGCCATCTAGTGAGACTGCAGCAAGACCAAACTGCATATGAGACTTTTTACAGCAGAACATCTGGGAGTATGACAGTGGGACAGTGAGGAATATTTGATTTGAATTGCATTGGCACAGGAATGAAGCAAATATGGGCAACCCGATTGCAGTGAAGTTGAAACCTCGACTAAGACTAATCAGGGAGAAAGGCGAGAGGAAGACCAAGAAAGAGATGGATAAATGATTTAGCTGAAAGCTGCAAAAAGATGAACAAATCCAAGCTATGTGAGAAGTGCAAGACAAATACAGACAAACCACAATACTGGGCCACAACCTGGTATCAGTGGGACGACAAAAGAAGAAGATACTTGTGTGTTTGGAAATGAAAAGACAGACAGACTGACTAATGCTGTGCTGCTGGATTGTGAAGTAGTGCATGGAAGAACAGAAGTGGTCAGGACCCTTTGGTAGTGAGTGAAGAATGCTAAAGCATGAGTAGATGGTTAAAAGCTGGAGAAAATGGTGAGTAGTAACCAGGGGACTGGCTGGTGTCACATATCACTCCTGTCGCGTGCCTAATGTAAGGATTTCTCCTTCAGAACCAACAGCACTCAGAGATAATTATGTTGAGTCGTTTGGCTCGTATTGGTCTAAGGGATTCCCCGTGGCCAATATACGATCAACTTATCTCTGGAGTAGGGCAACTCAAGTATTGGCACTACAAAATATATCAGTATATAAATACAATATTTCTAGGCACACTTGGCTGGACACCCCCACTACTTACTAAAGAAAGCCCCCAGGTTATGATAGTTCATTATCATAACCATGTTAACACATATAATGAAGATACATACACATACAACTGCTAAACACTTAAGAAGGTGACATAGAGAAACCTAAGTCAGCCATGAAAATGAATGCATGTATTTAGTATAATATCTGTACAAAAACAATTGAAGTGAATTCCAGCTATCAGTGAAAGAATCTCAGCACTAATGTCTAGATCCTAAGGAAACTAGGCAGACAGCCGGTCCTGGAGGTGACTA